GCTTCCTTTCTTCCCCATTCAATTTAAAACTTTTTTTTTTTAAAATCAAATGCGGCCTGCTTTTCTCCCGTTACGCTTTCTTTTTTTAGAAGAACCTAGGTTACTTCCACATTAAAAATTTATAAAAGGAAAGACTTTTCAGATTGATGTTTACAGCTACAGTGTAGTGTTCTGGGAACTTCTAAGGGCAGTGAGACCCTTTAAAGGTTTTGAACCTAATAAACTACTTTGATGTATCCAAAGTGGGTTGGTATAAAAATACACGAACTGTTACTTATAGCAAAATCACAGTCTGTTACTCGCTTTCGTCGCTTGGAAAAAGAGGCTTTTTGCAGAAAGCTGAAACTACCGCTTCATAAAAAACTACCCAAGGAAATAAAAAAACTGACTGGGCGCTAGACGCATCTGCACGCCAACTGCAGGCCAACTGTCAAGGGAATTTTGGACTTTGACTTAAAACACGGAGAAGTACAGTAAACTTCTTCACAATTTAAGTTCAAAAATCCATATAACAGCATTTTGAGATGCAGAAAGGAATTGGTAACATGAGAGAATTAGAATGGGCAGAACAGAGACGTGGATGGAATAAATATGCTAAAGAACAATTGCAGTTGATAGGAAAGTCATTGCAAAAACTTCAGCTTTGAAATTTTATATTTGCCTTCGCAAATTTTTAAGATTTTCCGCTTCTATTTACCAACACATCCAATGTATATCCAGAAAATACTCGTCCTCTAAAGTAGAGAGCAAGAAAACTATTTGATCACAATTCCTCTGCGATCATCTCCAGTAACTTTATTGCAATACATTTCTGAAATTTATAGGTCTCAAACACCCAGTTATCCTCCACTACGGTTTTTCCCACATACTTACTGCATTCTTACTTCAGCACCATCACTCCCCGCTGCCGACAACGAAGCGGAACGTGAGAGCGAAACAGAAACTGAGGATGCATTCATCAGAGTCGTAAGTCTTCTAACTAAAAGCGTAATAGTAGTCCAAAATCACCAAAACTCTCGGAATCCCACATGTTCTCCTTTGAAAAGCTCAAACAAACAGAACTTCAATGACTGTTGTCAATCAACGACTTCACAAAAATTTCCTTAATCCTCAACTGATGCAGATCAAATTATGAAAAAACTTTTTCATAACAGCAACACTTTGTTACTATTCTAAATCATTTACCAACACGCCACTGTTCCCAGGATCCCATCTGCAACACTTACATAAAACCTGCTTTACTATATACTACTATCGAGATCCCGCCGCCGCGTCCTTTATGGCGCTACCTGCCTTTATATTCACACTCCACCAGAAAAACTTTCATTCTCTTTTCTGATTACAGCTCCACGTCCTCCTTTCAACACAGAACCCCCAACTTTTTTACCCATCCTACTGTACCACACCATCTGTAAAAAAAAACACTTCGATTCTTCAAAAATGCCAAGTGATTCCCGAAATCAAAGAAACTTGTAGCCGCACCTTTCCATCAGTAGTAAGGTAACAATGTTCTTCAAACCAAAATTTCGCATGCGGCCACCTGCTCCTCCTAAAAGTCGTATGTTAAGTCAAGCAATTTAAGCTCCAATGCAATGTTCAAATATGCCTCAATACTCCCTCTCCTTTTTTTTCTCTCAAATTTGTCACTCTGCCCTACTCTCAATGAAAACTCTTTGATGAAATTTTAAAGAACCTCCTTTCTCCACTGTCGCGCAACAAACCTCTTCATGTTCACTCAATCCTCACTACCTGCTTTTGAGCTCACCTCCAAGCAAAGTAAGGCAGAGACTTTGCTAGAACTTTGTAACCTTCATGCTGCCTAACCGCAATCACAGTGCTCATTACCTTCCCCCCTCCCCCCAAAACGCCTTCAACTTTACCACTGTCCCTCTTCAACACCGCCATCCAAGTGTACGACAAAGCTGCAGAAATTATTGGCGACAACGACCTTTCTGTTAATCGCATTTACCATATCGTATCTATAGGACTGCAGCAAAGCATAAAGAATGACAAAACTTATCACTGAACTTTATGTTTCCAATTTACCACTTTACACCGTCACCGCTATTAGCCTAATAAATTATTAATAGCGCTTTTACAAAACAATCTAACCAGCTCACGAATAAAATCAGTGGTCACAAAAAAAGGCGCAGGACAATTAAAGTACCGTAAAACTCATCCAACAAAGTCTAAGAAAAATCTACAATCAACATTGAAAGTATCTGATAGCTGCTTCAACTCAACTTTTACACCACATAAGTACATTTAATATAACTCAAATGCACGACCCAAAACCACTGTTCTTTCGTGCTGAAAGTGAAAAAATAAAAAGAAAAATAAAATTTTAAGGGTTGAAAAGCGTCTCATTAAAACCAATTTCGTAACAATTAGTTATTGTCATCGAAGACCAATTTCTCGAATAAAAAATTCTGCTGAAAAATTGAATGCGATCGGTGCTAGATTGAGCAGTAAGAAGGTAAAATGGAACGAGCGGTTAATAGCACAACAAACTAAAACGACGTAGGAAATACTGGCATATTACGGAAACAAAAATCTGCATAAAATTTTAGTCTCTTTTTCATTGATAAGGTACATTACCAAAGCTCATTTCAAGCTGCGTCATGGGCCACAGCTATTAAATTGAAAACGCAACTACATCCAAATCATCTTCTAATATCTATAACACTGGTCCATCAGCAACGTCTTTCAACAGATCTCTAGTAAGTAAGAAAGAGGAAAAATAAAAACTGCAAAAAATTAAATGACTACTACAACAGTGCTAGAAACAACACAGAACTACAAGTTGTAACAACAATATGCGAAAACTACAAAAGGTCGCCTAACACCACTAACACTATGACTCCTGCGAAGGACGAGCTTTGCTAACATTTTCTTCAAGATGTTCCTTAAGGATTTCTTGCTCCTTCTCTCGACCCTCTGAACTCGCTTCACCTCTTGCTAAAAAATCATCGTAAAATGGAAATTTCTTGACAGAAACATGCATACTCGCGTCCATTTCTAATTACCAATTACCGATTGTGGACGGGGAAATATCTTGTTTTGGAATAGATTTCATTAACTTCCGCGCGATTCACTGTGCTGTGTGAAGGTACCTCTACGTTAAGCTAATGGGCTCCGGAAAAATATGCAAAACTTTTGTATTACGCATGTGTATGAGGTGTAACAAATGCGTTTTGTTTATCAATGCTCTATCTGTCAATTTTCAAAATCTGTTGCTTTTCCACCTCTTTTCTGCCGAGATTTTAACTTCAGTGCTGAGTTATCTGCTGGGATTTGGTTTAGAAATTGGTTCATTCTTTTCTGTTTTGCTCTTCTTTTTCTACACCTTTGAAAAACTGGTAAAAGTCAGCATACAGTTGCCCACAATGTGGTGAACATAATAACAGCAAAATCTGTAGAAATATTAAAACTCGGTTGAAAAGTAAGTCGCAAAAACGAGTTGATTACATCTAAAATAGTCTAACTCTATTCATAATTTGTATATTTTCGGAACCCAGAAGGTCTAAAGCCTACTAAAACTCTTCACAAAGTTAAATATATGCCTAGCAGAACCTAAAAAAAAAGGAAAGGTGCAGTTCCCGTGCAACACGAAGTCATTTTTGCAAGCAAAGTAATATAAGTATTAGTAGGCGAAATTAGCCCATGTGTCACATTTCAACAAAAACTTCGACCAGGGCCTCACACATTACCGAACCTTGACAATCGTTATGTAGCCACGAATGTGCCAAACAGAAACATATCAAAACCCCTGCAAACTCCCAATATAGACCAGGTAGACATGTCTCAATTTAAACTAAAGTCAGATTTTTATAACCCTGCATTACCATAAACCTCGTCCTGCCGCGGGAATTCGTTAAACGATAATTAAAAATGAACGCGAGAATAAGACAGTATGTCTTCGATGTACCAAATCCCTTTGAAAATTCACATTTAAAGCAGTCTGTCCTGATGACGCATTCCATAAACCTCATAAACTCGTCTGCACATTTACCGTCCTCTAAATCCTTCTCAGATGCTGCCTTCTGACAAGTAATCGCTTCACGGAACTCATAACCGCACGGACTTGCAACTAGATGACTTACACAGTGGCACTCAAAGTTTATCCCACCATTCGGCAAAGTTGGACCTATAAAATTACGCACTGAAGCAAATGTAGAGAGTGGATGTAATTATCTGATTTACTGTTTCAACTTAGAAATTAGTAACCACTCCAAAAAAGTCTTCACGTCTGAAAAACGAATCAAGGTGCAATAGAAGAAGTGAACATAAAAACTGCGAACCTGAGTACCTGGATTGTAATTGTCGTACAGTTCATCAGGATTCAAATCTCCAATAGCCCGAGCATAATCGTACTGAATTGGTTCCTTGAATTCACTTTCTGTCAGGTAATTTAGCTAAATGAACGAGAACTTCACAGAGGTATGCAACGGAAATTTACGGTACAAAATAGGAACGACTCTGCGCAGTGCTATTGCAAGTGAGCCAAAGATTCCGTAGTCTATCTCTGCACAAGCTAGTCAGATCGAAGTAACAAATCTACAGCAAAAGAACG